GTTTTATAGGTGTCGCGCGCCCATTGGAGGGAAATCGACATTCAAATGATTGGCAGGTTAAAATCACCTGGCTAGCACTTTTATGCGTTGAATTTTTTTTAATGGTGACCATTTCTCTTACCTTGTAAATCGAAATTTTACATCGCCGCACTCAACTCTCTGAGGGCTAAATGGAAAACAAATATCAGGAAAGCGCGAATTTGTTTTTCCTTCAGAAAACTTTACACAAGATATTCAGTACACACACACGCGCTTATTCGTTTTGAGAAAAAGTTGGGCGTAAATTAAACTAGAACAAAAAAAACAAAATTCGGTACTTCTCTTACTTCTCTTGGGTTCTCCGCTGACAGAATGTGTGCCTCTTGTTTGTGCCACGAAGATGCGCATGCCACGCCTTCATATTCATAACAAGGCGAGAAAAAGCGCAGTTTAGTTGCAACGTAATCAGAGGAGGGACTTTCCCTTCGCATCAAATGTTCGAAGCGATGTGGAGGAACATTCCAATAAACCATAACTTGATGCTTGTCTTGAAAGAACAGGAGAGCGCGTCTTTGGTCGACGCGCAACGTTCTTGCCAACTTGGTTCGTCGAGGTTCATTTTGTCTCCTTTGTGTTGCGCAAAGTATCAATACAAATAAGTGGAATTGCCTTTATCTTCTTGCTCAAAGTATGACGTCTTTCAGTGAACTAGTCAATCAATCTGACCTTCAGTTACGTTTGGCGCATGATCTCCTGATTTGGTTGCAAATCTTTTCTCCCACGATGGCATCATCTCTTTGTTTTGACGGCGTATTGACACAAGGAAGTCGTTCTTGATTGTTTTTCGCTTTCCCAGAAAACGCGCTAGCAAAGCACTTTCGAGGTTTACTAGAAAACGCGCTAGCGAAGCACTTTCGAGATGATTCATGGCCAAAATATGTGCTTGTGATGCAGTTTAAGNGTTTTATAGGTGTCGCGCGCCCATTGGAGGGAAATCGACATTCAAATGATTGGCAGGTTAAAATCACCTGGCTAGCACTTTTATGCGTTGAATTTTTTTTAATGGTGACCATTTCTCTTACCTTGTAAATCGAAATTTTACATCGCCGCACTCAACTCTCTGAGGGCTAAATGGAAAACAAATATCAGGAAAGCGCGAATTTGTTTTTCCTTCAGAAAACTTTACACAAGATATTCAGTACACACACACGCGCTTATTCGTTTTGAGAAAAAGTTGGGCGTAAATTAAACTAGAACAAAAAAAACAAAATTCGGTACTTCTCTTACTTCTCTTGGGTTCTCCGCTGACAGAATGTGTGCCTCTTGTTTGTGCCACGAAGATGCGCATGCCACGCCTTCATATTCATAACAAGGCGAGAAAAAGCGCAGTTTAGTTGCAACGTAATCAGAGGAGGGACTTTCCCTTCGCATCAAATGTTCGAAGCGATGTGGAGGAACATTCCAATAAACCATAACTTGATGCTTGTCTTGAAAGAACAGGAGAGCGCGTCTTTGGTCGACGCGCAACGTTCTTGCCAACTTGGTTCGTCGAGGTTCATTTTGTCTCCTTTGTGTTGCGCAAAGTATCAATACAAATAAGTGGAATTGCCTTTCTCTTCTTGCCCAAAGTATGACGTCTTTCATTGAACTAGTCAATCAATGTGACCTTCAGTCAGGTTTGGCGCACGATCTCCTGATTTGGGTGCAAATCCTTTCTCCCACGATGATATCTCTTTGTTTTGACGGCTATTGACACAAAGAAGTCGTTCTTGATTGTTTTTTCGCTTTCCCAGAAAACGCGCTAGCAAAGCACTTTCGAGGTTTACTAGAAAACGCGCTAGCGAAGCACTTTCGAGATGATTCATGGCCAAAATATGTGCTTGTGATGCAGTTTAAGAAGTGCTAATGATGACGCACCCCACAGCTTAAGTGACAATCTGTCATTCTGCAAGCGCCAAGGTGGCGAGAAATGTATATCAATGTCTTTGACGCCTCTTTGTGCACGGGATCTGTTATCTTTACATCGTGAATTCTGTTGTCTGAACATCATAGAATCACAATTGAAGCAAGAATTATTCCTTTTTTGGCCATTGTGTATTTGAGAGTTGAAACCGCACTTTGCAAAATGGCCTTGGGGTATATTGCTTTGT